TTTAGATAAGGTTCATTGCTGACTTCAAGCATTTCCCACTTTCTGTTCCCTTTATCTATAAATGCTTTTCCCCACATGTACTGGAACTGGATTGTTCTCTCATTTCAGAGCTTTGCTCAAAGGTTACTTTTTCAATAAATGTTTGCCTGAACACTCAATTTAAAGTAGAAATGCCTTCCCCACACTTACAGGAGGTTCCTTTCTTCTTTATCATCACCTAACACATTCTTTGTGCTTGTCTCTTCAAAGAAAATGCAAGCTCCATTAAGGCAAGAATCTCACCAAAAATAAAAAATAAATTTAAAAATGCATCTAATTATTTTCCTGCTTCAAAATCTATGATGAGATCTTCATATCCTTTGGAGTCTGAATCCAAATTCATTTAAGTCTTTTTCCTCACTCCAAAATATGGTATACTGTTCATTCACTAACACTTTTATCTTCCTTGAACCTGCCATGCCATTCCATTTCTTCATGGTTTTCATCTACTTCTGCTCTCCTTGCCAAACTTATTCATCCTACAGACCTAGTTATTCCATGAGGCCTAGTTATTCCATGTTAAGCTAGCTGCAGCTGCCTCAGCACAAGTTTGATCCCCAATCAGGGAGGTGACCCACATGGCATGACAGATCTCTCTTGCCCGCTGCGCCCCTCAGCAGTGTACTTCATCAATATGCCCGTTCTGCTCCCCACTCTGTCTCTGGTGAATCTTTTCATTGCCCCTGCAACTCTGGCCTGTACCCCAGCTCTGTATGCATAAATAAATAAATAAATGAATGAATGAATGAATGAATGAATAAATAAATAAATAAATAAATGTTTTTTCAAATAAAAAAGTCTGTTGAGTGAAAATGATTAAATTTGAAAGTGATTGAGATAATCTTTGGGGGGAGAGCCAGGAAAAATGTCTTAAGAGCTAAAGTGCTGCCAATCATCAAACCTGAACATAATGTAAATCTTGAGTTTTTACATTTGCTAAAAAAATCTCACTCTGATAGTTTTAACAACACTTAATAATATGCATATCAAAAATAATAATAGAATTTTCTTTTTGCAAGATGAAGAGTTCTGGAGGTTAGTAGTGTAACAGTGTCAGTGTACTTAATACTACTAAACTATACACTTGAAAACAGGTCAAATGGTAACTGTTTTTTGCTTTGTATATTTTACAACTAAAAATAAAATTTATTAAAGGCCTAGTGAGAAAAGGCATTTACTTTAGCAAATATACTAATTTACAAAGCAGATATTACATAGAGTACTAAGTAAACTGATGTGACAAACAGTATCTGCACATTTAAAATGAAGTTATTAATTTGTTAGAGTGGGAAGAGAGACTGGAGATAATGTACCTATTTTTCTGAAGTAAATAAGCATGGAAAACAGAAAAGGTTTTAATCAAGTTAGAGGAAAACTAGGATCAGCACCTAGGTTTTAGAGTACAGAGCTCTTTTCAAATGTACTACATCACAGTCCCAAGTAATTCAAGATTTATTCTATTACTTCCCTGTGCAAACCTCATGAAGAGTGAAAATAATACTACAGGTAGAAGTCTGCATATCTGATCTCTCTCTGTGGGATCTCAGACAAGTTACCCAACTCGTAATACTATCCTGCTTTATTGAATCAATGTGTGAATCAAATGAAAATCCTGTTAAAAATGGAAAGTATAATCACTATCTCCATTCTTTCAGATTCTCTAGTATAGTTTTGGCCAGGAGAAGGAGAGAGAAAAGGGAAGAGATATATACCACAACAATTCTAAGAAGCTTTGTTATTATTTTACATACGGAAGAAAAGCAGGAAGGGGACTAATAGCTGGGAAGAGAGTTCATGATGAACAACAACAAAAAAAATCTCCAACATGAAACTATCCATAACACCTATCAATAAATGACTGAAATTCACAAGCTCTTATAGTATTTATATATAACTCTTCTTATACCCAGTGTAGGCTAAAAAAAACTTTCTACCTTTAGGATATTTCAGAAAATTATGTTACTTGGGTATGTATTAACCTTTCCTACTTTACTGTAATGTGTCCAAAGCAGGGACTCACAGTATTTAGCCCTTAAGAGTTGTCTGTAAGTTGCTGAGTCAACATCCAGCTGATAAGTGGTTGGAGTTGTGGCTAAGAGTAAATGAATGAAAGGGAAGAACTAACTGCATAAAGAGAGAGCCAAGAATTTTATCTCCCCTGATTTCCCCAACTCCTTCACCTCTATTTATTTCTACAGACCTATGCGGAAGTTCTTGAGTATTATTTACATACCAGTTTTTAAATAGGTATTTTTATATTAAAACACTCCATAAAACTACAATGTTTTTCCTTCAATATTATCAATAAAGACTTAAAGGAAACAAAACCAACGGAGTATTTTTAATAGCTAACTTATGTGGCAAACAAATTTATATCAAATGTTCACATATAAAACGTGTTTTTTAAAAGGAAAAATTTGTGAATTCTGTGAATCTATATTTTAATTTAGAATCTCATTCTCATGTAAACTGTAATAGTGATATTTTAATCAAAGCTTTTGTAAATAAAATTTTTTTCTTGCAAAGAAATTTTAGTTTTCAAAACTGTCAGAAAAATATGCTGAGACAATGCCTAGCTCCAAATACAAAAATTCACTCATCTTTCCCCCACCTAATTTTTATTACAGTATAAACTAAATATGGAGGCACAGAATTTTTTCCAAAAAATTCTTAAGAATCACTTAGGGTGCCGGTTAAAAATAGATTCCCACAATCCTTGGAGATGCTGACTCAGCAGCTCTTGGAAGAAAAAAATCTTTATTCCTCAAAGTGATTCTGATAATCAGTAAGACTGGGAAACACTGATATAGTCTGGTAGTTCTCAATTTGGTACATATTAGAATTACCTAAAGAGATTTTAAAAACTTAAAATTCAGGTGGAGGTTCCATTCATAGACCAAAAGACTTTCCAGTTTGTTAACACCCACCCCAGAGAGATGGGGCTCTAACTGCAAACTCTGGGCAACACAATTTTGTAAAGCTCCTTAGAGATGCTGAGAACAGTTGATGTTTTAGAATTCTCCCAGGGCTCTCTTATCAAGAAACTAGTTTTGTTCCTTTTCCCAATACCAGCAAAGCTGAAGTTAGAACCATTTCTCCTGATATCTAGTTTACTTTGTTTTTTGTTTTTGTTTTGTTTTGTTTTTTTTACATAGTTGTTTCCTCTTAGGTTGACAAAGTGTGAAAAAGATAAACCATCTTTTTACCTTAAACCAATAGTGCCATTTAACAACTGGATGAATTAATATGCAGCTAACTTTTTTGCTTCAGAAATCACTGGAAAATGTTATTTTTCTTAGTCCTAATATAAAACAAGATTAAATGCTACTACTACTTAATCTCTAATTCCTACTACTAAGTGGTTAGTATATTTTACAAAGAATTCTTGATACTTCTTTAACTTCTAAATCAGTACTTAAAATTTTCAAATTAAAGTCTGATATTACCATCACTTACTAGGAAAATTATTTCATATCCAAATTTGGCGACACATTACATAGAATTATTACATACCTAAATGAAGTTACTCTGCAAACTAACAGACTTCCATTTTCCATACAAGTCCTCCTGTCACACACATCCCCCAAATTTCAAGTTGCACTAGTCTCAATACCCATTGATTTGTTCACAGGTATTCAAAATAGGAAATTTCTCACGAAATTGGCTAGTCCATTTCAAGAACTGTCTTAATAACAGTGTAAGAAAAAAATCACGAAAAATGTGTTATGTTTGAGTTTATGTACTCAGAATTTTTATTTAAGGTGGTTTTTACTTTCTAATAATCATGTTTGGCTTGCTTTCTGGCAATCTAAGTCTACTTTTATAATTACAGTACCAAAGTTTTTAAAATGCCATTTTCTATCCTTCTCAAGTTTGCCAAATATTTAAGTACTTCAGATTTCAATTATGTTTGTAATCTGTGCTTTTGGGTTTCGAACGCTTTAGCAAAAACAGATCACATTACTCTACAGGTAAATTTTCTGCAAATTGTACATTGTCTAAAGTACAACGTCTATGTTTGACTACTTCTAGCTACACAGGCGTAACTTCAAGTTCCAGATTCTGATGCAATGGATTTTGTTTCAGTAATTTTAATGAACACAAGCACTCCTTTAAGAACAAAATTTAGTGATTTAGACAGCAAAAGAAATTAAAAACCTCACCCAAACTTAAATATGCCATTTGTTATTTAAAATATATAAATACTCCCAAACCATTATTTGGAACCAGGAATTGGGCCCTTAAGGCATCGCAAAAACTAAAAACTCAGAAGCTCAGTTAAATGTTCAAAGGATACAGTGTTTAGAAAACAAGGGCACATAGTGGAGATGGTAACTTAGGAGACAACTGCACTACACTAAGGTCTGCAAAGCCTAAGTATTTTGTGTCCACATTTTAAACTTGAAACTTGCCCTTGCAAATTCAAAGGAGACAGACTGTATAAAACACATGCAGCCTTTTGGGGTTGCTGCAAAATTTCCTCAAACTACACCAAACAAAACCAAACCCCCCCAAAACCAAGCATGTTTATTTTTAAGCGTGTGCTAGGGTAGTAGGCAAACCCCAGTTATTAGAAACTCTTGGCTGGTACTATCTGGAAGGGAAAGCCAGCCCCTGGGCTGGAGATGCTGCCTTTCAGCCCGGGCTGGACCGCGGCTCCGAGCCAGCCGGCACGCGGGAGCCGCCCGGCTCAGACGATGCCCGCCCGGGGGCGGGGGGCTCGCACGTGCCGGCCGGGGGCGGGGCCGGCGCGAAAGGACCCTGGCGCGGGAGGCTGGGCGGCCGGGCCGACCTCCCCCGCGGCCGCGATCCTGGGTTTACATAAGGGCGCACGTCATGGAACTGATGGAGCCACACAGAGACGTCTAAGTCATGCAGGAGGCGCGCGGCCCCGGCCCGCTCCCGCCGCCCCAGACCCCTCCTCTCATCCGACAGAAAGACAGACAAGAAGGGTTCCCGACCTGTCGTGCCCTGCATGTTCAGAGTCTGTCATGTTTGGTCAAGAACGGGGCGGGGCTGGAGGGCAGGTCTGCGAGGCCGGCGGCAGCGGGGCGCGGGGTGGACCCCTGCCCCGCGTGCGGGTACCTGCTCCCGGCCACCGCCGAGAGGTGACGAAGTGGTAAAAACTCACGGTTACTAGTGAGCGACACAGACACAGACTTTCCAGTCTATTAACAACCACGCCAGAGAGATGGGGCTCTAACTGCAAACACTGGGCAACGGCCCCGCGCTGCCGGCGCTGCCGCTTTAGTCTCTATTCGCCGCCGGTGGCTGAGGCTTGGGAGCGGGCGGGCAGGCGGCGTGCAGCGACGCGGGGATTTGGACAGTGGCCGTAACGGTGATTTCTCCTCACCAACATGGCGGCACCCGAGACAGCGGCTCGATAAAATGGCGCCTGCCGCAATACCTAGCCCGGGACTAAAGGGCAAGAGAGATTCCTCCGCGTGCCGCGGCCCTTGCCCAGCCCGTCGGGGCCGACGGCGTTGGCTATTGGAGGAAACCCCCTGTCAATCACCTCCAGGGGCGGGTTCCCACTCTTTTTAGTGCGGTGGCGGAGGCGGCAGCTTGATGCTGGGGCTGGTCGGCGCCAGGGGAAACTTCGGCGGGGGGGAGGCGGGTTTCGAGGCCCGCGTTCTCCGCCTGCGCCTGCTGGCCCGGCCCAAAGAAGCCGCCACCCAAAGGAGGAAGAGTTGTAGAGGCCTCGTGTTAAATGGTCCCCAAAGCTTTTGCTGGTGTAGGCAGACATGAGATAATAGCGAACGCGGCTGTTAAATTACCTTAAAAAAAAAAAAGTTTCCTAAATGATGCGGAAATGTGCTTTGTTCTTGGAGGACGTGGCGTGGTCGCATTTTTATAAAGGTTTTGCTCAGAATCGCATAATTAAGGATAACCTTAACCTACAACTTTAATGTTTAGTGCTAAATTTATACGATTTAAAGTAATTACTAAGAATTACAAATTTTAAACCATTTTGCAAAGATCCTGAATTTTTACGTGTACAGGATACAAGATCACTATAAATAGAAGCAACTGGGGGTTGCCTTTCTTTACATTTATGAAGTGACTGTTAAAGATATTTTAAAGTCATTGTTTCGCTTATTTGCAACGTGAAGTCCCTTGTTCATTAAGATGAGTAATATGTCCAAGTATTCAGATTCTTTTAGTGATAATTTAAGCTGGGTCCTGGGCTAGCACCCCAACCCTGCCAACATTTTCTTTGCCACAGTAGCATTGATGGAGGAAGGAATGCTGGGGAAGCATTACAAGATTGAGTCGCACTAAGGGGACAGGTATGTCCCCTTGGCAATTGACATAGCCATAAAATCAAGGTCCTCAGGCGCCAAAGCCAGATGCCGGGATGTCTGCAGGAGGTCCCAGCCGATGACAGACTGTTGGGGGATGTGCCTGAAGCTCAGACACAAAAGGTAAAAGATAAGGACTTCGAGATGAAGCTTATCAGAAACTCCCGTCCTTTCAGATTCTATCCAAAGTCAAACCTAGGCTCACAAGGTGTGAGCCCCTCCCAAAGAGAAGCTGTCTATATCAGGGCTGTCTCCACCAGCGGGGGGGTGGGGTTGGGGTGAGGGGCACTCTGCCTATCTGTGACTGAGCAGGTGCTTCTTTCCACCCACTCTCCCTCTGCAGGGCAGCAGCCTCCCACCTACCTGTGACCCTTCGGGGACTTCTCTGCACTGACCTCCCTCAGTGGAGGCTGCTCTGCTAAGACCACCTTGCCTGCAATCATGCAGGACCCTCTGCAAACCTGTCCCTTTCCAGGCAGCTCTTCCGGCCTGCTAGCCAATGCAAGTGTCTTTTCCTCTCCTGTCTCTTTCTAATAAACTTACTCTTTAAATATAACTGAGTCTCTGTCTCCTGGAGAATCGTGCAGTGTACCGCTGAAAGGGGAGCTCTGGTGAAACCTTTCCCAGAAATGAACCCAAGGACCCAGAACTTCAAAAGACCACATCACTTCAGATCCCTAACCTGGAGCGAATGTAACCCCATTATGAGCTTGTAACCTCATGCTGAGATGTGCTTTCCCCACCCCCAGCACTTGCAAACCAGTATTAAGAAAGCACAATGGAGGGGGCATAGCGAGGTTTTGTCTAGGTATAAAATTATCCAGAGACCTGCAATCTCCAATCTCTGGTCTGTCATGGTGGTATTTTTCCATAAAGATTTATTTATTTGCCTAAGGAGTTTTCACTTCTATAGTTGGTTTAACAACTATAATCATTTCTGTCCCCACCTCCAGTTTCTGGGCTTATGACACCTCTATCCTAAGTTTTCTACTCTTCCATCACTAGGAAATTTATAAAATGTAAATTTCTTTTTTTAAAAAAGATTTATTTATTTATGCATACAGAACTGGGGTACAGGCCAGAGGTGCAGGGACAGTAAGTGGATTCACCAGAAACAGAATGGGGAGCAGAACAGGCAGATTGACAAGTACATTGCTGAGGGGAGCAGCGGGCAAGACAGGAGAGGTCTGATGTGCATGCTTATAATATAAATGATGGGGAAAGATGTCTGCTTTCAGAGAACTTCTTTAAGTCTCTCACTTAGAAAACTATGTCAGACTCTGTCATTGATCAAACCCATTGTTTGAAACATTCTACAATTTTCCTATATTAGCATTAGTTTAAGTGAAACATAACAGGCTGTTTTCCAAATGTGCCCTCCGTTTTCCTGCCTTGTTACAATCATTTCCAGCCTGGATGCCCATTTACCCCTAAGATCACCTTTCTTATGAAAATTACTCAATAATGAGCTTAAATAAGACCCCAAGTCTAGAAACCTCTATGAATGCCTTTTTTTTCTTATGAATTGTCTTAACACTTTATACTTTCTTTTTTTAAAGATTTGTTTATTTATGCATACAGAGCTGGGGTACAGCCCAGAGGTGCAGAGGGTGAGAGGATTCACCAGAGGCAGAGTAGGGAGCAGAACAGGCAGATCGACGAAGTACACTGCTGAGGGGAGCAGCGGGCGGGTCAGGAGAGGTCTGCCACGCCACGTGGTCACCTCCGGGGCAGGCGGGAATCGAACTCATGCGGAAGTGGCTTTAGCTTCTCAGTTGAGTGCTTTAACCCGCTGCGCCACCAGGGAGGGCCTATACTTTCATTTTTAAGAAACTTTATTTCTATCAACTTTATTTCCACTTGTTTAAGTTTGTGGAAGAACAGTTTAAGACCACTCAGTGCTTGTTCTTACCGAAGCTATGACCTGAGCAGTAGGAAAAGCTAACCAGTTGTCAATGGCAGACTGAGTGCCCCAACCTTCACCAAGCAACTGCTGAAGAGGTATAAAGAAGACCTGTGCCTTTTGATCAGTGTGCAACCTCAGCTTTTGTGGCGTAAATTTGGGGCCTGGAACATGCCATTCATCCTGAAATTCCTCTTTGGTCAGTTCTTTTTTTTTTTTTTTTTAGCGGTGGCCTCCTCTTCCTTTTCAATCTCTTCAAGATCTCTATGAAAGTAGAAATCAGGCACGTACACTCATGGGAGATGATGCCAGACATGGGCAGAAGTTCTTGACCCTATAGCGTCCACCCACAGGGCCAAACCCACTGAGTGAATTTCCATGTTGCTCCTTGGGATGGCAGCGTCCACATAGCAGGTTACACAGGAGGCAGATTAACCTTAGATGCCTCGCAGAGCTGCTAGTGATCAGACCTGGGACCAGTAACCCGCTGAATTTGAGGCGTCTAGAAAGCTGCCTGGATTTGGCTAGTGAAGGTTCAAGGAGTGAACGATGAGCCAGATAAGTGATTCTAGCAGGAGCAGCAAGCTTTTAGCACAGTTCCCTTGCCAGTACTCTTGGACATGACACTAACATCAGGCTCTCTTCCCTGGCAACAATAACATGAGCTGCCAACGTATGCCTCTCCCAAGTTGTCGTTACTTTTGTGCTGTAAATGTTACCACTTTTCCTTTTGTAAATTTGTAGGTCAAAGTTGATGCACCTAAATGGGTTAGTGCTGAGGAATTCAAGGACATAGTGCCTCTTTATTTGTAGAACCTTACGCCCCAGTATATTGTTTCCCTTGAAGTTATCCAGATCAACCTCTTTCCAAGTAGCCAGGAAAGGGCAGCACTGAGTACTTAAGACTTTCGATCCTAAAGCCACATGTTTTTAAAATCTCAGCAGACTGTAGAGACACTACAGCAACACAACTTATTCACATGTCTGAAAAACATGGGAGGTACTACATGGCTTAGAAAACTGTTGTGAGCATTTGAGGTCAGCTGGACGCTGGTGTAAAATGTTTAAATAAATATTAGCTTTATGCTACCATTCCTTAGATACTTTGTGAGGACCACAGAACAGTTCTCACTGAATATTTGAGGTCGTAGGTCAAAATATGCACCTAAAAACAAATAAAAAACAAAAAAAGCCGCAGTAGGGCAACGCATGCGTAGAGCAGCGGCGCAGCGGAGAGGGCGTGCGCGGCGGCGAAGGGGCGGGGTGGCGCGTGCGCAGACAGACCGCGAGCTGGCCAGCGTTGCCTTCGCTACTCTCCGCCCTGCGGTTGTTACTCTATAGCTGCCTGGCTCTGGGCTGGGTGATGGATTTTGAGAATCTTTTCTCTAAACCCCCCAACCCGGCCCTTGGCAAAAGGCCGGCCTCGGACTCTGAGGAAAGGTGATCCCTTGTCTTTTCATGCTTTGAACGCACCTGCGGGGCCCCCCTCTGCGTTCCTCCTGGAGGCCGCGGGGGCGGTGTCGCGACCACGCCGCGAGCTTCCGCGGGGACCGCGTGGGCAGCCGGGCCCGCGCCGCGATCAGACTGCAGGAGGTGGTTGGGAGCCGGAGATGGGACCAGTTAGTGGCAGGGGTTCCGGAAGCCTGGGCGATGGGAGCGGCGGGGCCCTGGCGCCTTCGGGATGGGTGAGGGTCTCCTGGACGCTTCCTTTCCTCCGCGTCACTCTAGCCGGGCCAGGAGCCGGTCCTGTGGTCTCCCAGCACTTGCACAGGACCATAGGCTCGTAGAAGAGAAGTCTTTGGAGATTCTTCTCGGAGATGATGCTAGGCTTTTTTTTTTTTTTTAAATTTTTAAAATTTTAAATTGGTGATAGTACATACTTGTACTAGTATGTAGTCTGCCTTTAGTCCACTGATTTGCACCAGAAGACCCTAAAGACCACACGTAGTAAAAGCATCAGACGCCATTTGGATATAATACTTACTTTAGGTTGGAAAAAATTGAGCCAAATGGGGCTAATTTTTTTTATCTCATTCTTGAAGACATGTAGCTCGTTCATTACATGTTCATTCACTTCACAGCTGTCCATTCACTTGTTTTCTGAATTTGAAGTGCTAAGAAACCTTAACCTAATCTTTCCACCCGGTTTTTCCAGGCCGAAATCCATATGCACACTCTATTTATTTATTTCATTCTTGATATAACCTGTACTGGTTGATTTTACCTCTAGGTATTTCAAATTTATTCACTTTTTTTCTGTTTCAAATACCTTACTCAGTTCAGGTAGCATCTAGAGCTTTACTACCAAATTTAGTGAAATGTATTACATAATTTTCAAAACAATCTGGAGAAGATGCTATTCTTTTTACGGATAATAAAATTGAGGCACAGAGGATAAAAAGCTTGCCAAGGTTACACGTTGTGGTGTAAGTGGCAGAACTGGGATTAAGTTGCCTAATTTAACACCAGGACCCTTGATTTCATCACCATACTTCTAGGACAAAATAATTAAGACCTACTTTGAAAAGAGACAGCTGTTCTAATTACAGATGATATGACAATCTGCAAAGAAAAACGAGGGGCCAATTAATAAACTATAAAATAGAGATTTAGGAAAAGGTGAATATCACACAAAATATAATGAGTAGCACCAAGAGATCCAATAGACATTCGTTCACAAAAACGTAACTCCAGGAGAGATACTTTTGGGTTTTTGCCAAAATATTAGGTGAAGGATGGTAATAAGGTATAGTGAACTTCAGTAAATAAGGTCTGTGGTTCTCAAAAATTTTACCTCTAATTATTTGCCTTTTAATTGCCTATGTATTATTTTCCATGCATAAATGTTTTTGTTTTAAATGTAGTCAGATGAATCTTTTATGTGTGTGTGTGTGTATTTTAAAGATGTATTTATAGATTCTGGGTCTTTTTTTTTCTGGTGATTTTAGGATGGCCCTACTCATTTGAGTCCCTGCTATGTGTAAAGACATTTTTCTAGGCCCTGGGGATGTAGCAATAAATAAAACATGAAAATCCCTGTACTCTTGAGATTTATATTCTTGGTGCATAGACAGGACATAAATAACTCATTTTAGGTGATAATAAAAACCATGGGAGAAATGAAAGTAGGTTGAAATTGCTATTTAAGATAGATCTAATATAGGTCAAAACTTTAGTTTTGGTTATGGTGAGACCCAGTATGGGTGTTGAATGAGAAGTTGGCTTTGCCTCCTTGGCTTACTTCTCACCTTCACTTTTTATTGTGGCAAATTCCACAGATCTCTAATTCTGTTTTCTCATCCATAAAACAGGTTTTTGAACAATGGTAGTTATGGCATAGGGTTGTGCTGTGTAATGTGCAGTTGTGCTGTGTAATGTGCATGGAATAGTGCCAGGCACAGAGAAAGCATTGTGTGTTTGCTATTACTGTTACTGTCCTATTGCTCTGCTTAAGGAGAGTTGCTTCCTACTCTAGGATATTAGTGAAAACCTCAACAGTGGAGCTTCACAGTAAATGGTGTATAGTTCTTTATATGGTGCCTTCTGTAGAAGACTCACAATTTGGTACTTCATCTGATGGATGGATGTAATTCAGAAGATGACTGAGGAGCAATCAGTGGTAAAACTTGAATTTGAAGCTGTGAAGAGGAAGATCCTGTAAATCTGAAAGCAGCACCATTCACATCCTTGTGCTGGCAGTGCTTTTCCATTGAGGTGTTCTTTAGAGAATGGGCTAATGTCGAAATCTTTGCCTTTATCTGGCTTGTAACTTGTGTTAAGCCAGAGTTTTTATTCAGAAGTCACTATTTGCTGAGATATAGTTATCCTTAGCCCCCTAGCTCGAGAGATTCAACCAGTACTTACATTTTCTTACAAAGTTGTATCGGTTCCTTTACCAGTACTTCTATTTCCTGTCTTCTTTCTTGGATTCTTTTATAGTTTTGCTGGAATGATTATACTTAAGTATTTGTCTCAGATGATGTGAATGCATGTTTTTCAGTCCTTGTGAGTCTGAAAATAACTTTTTTTATCCTCTCACAGGAATAAAAGTTTGCATTTTTCTGACCTTAAAAGATACCCAGTATTCTACCTGAAACACTCTTCTCCATTACATTCTTCTTTGTTAACTCTTTTATATATATGTGTGTTCTTATATGCATAAGTACATCTTGTTAAGAGCCAATACGCCATTTACTGTGTGTGTGTATTTTAAAGGTGTATTTATGCATACAAGAACTGAGGTGTAGGACAGAAGTGGGGGTGGGGAGTGAGAAGATTCACCAGAGACAGAGTGGGAAGCAGAACAGGCAGGTATACTGAAATACACTGCTGAGCGGAGCAGTGGGAAAGACAGGAGAGGTCTGTTGCAACATGTGGGTCAGTTCCCTGCAGAGGATCAAACTTGTGCAGATAGTGGCTGGGGGTAGCTTGGTAGCGCTATCTTTAACCCCTGCACCACCAGGGAGGCCACCTTACATACCTTTTAATTTCAAAAAATCTTTGACCCATCTGGGATAAGTGTGCCTCATATATGCACTTACCCATCATACTGAAATCACTTTATTTACTTCTCCAAAGAAGATAGAAAATTCTCAGAAGATGGGGCCTGTCTTTTTCATTCTTGTGTAACAGGTCTAAAGCCTGGTATATGATAAAAACTCGGTATTTGTTAAATGAATGGCATGCTGATTTATATAGCTACTGATACTTGAGATTAGTCATATAATCTGAAATTTCAGTTTTACAGTTTAATCAAATATGTCGATGTTTCACATAATTTTGTATATTATTTCTCTGGAATATTTAGAGTAGAGTTTGAATTTGGAATTTATTTGAGGACAAGTTGGAGATAAACCAAAGCAGTGAATTTTAATGCTAAGGTGTGTACCCTTTTTAAGTTAAAAAAAAAAATCTTTTGTGTTATTTGATATTTTTGCTACAGAATTGATGATGAAATAGATGATACAGAAATTGAAGAAACACAAGAAGAGAAAGTAAAGTGGAAAGGTAAACTGGAATGTGAGCAGATTCCCAAAAAAGTAAGTTTGCAGTGGCATATTGACCAAACCAGAAGGAATGGATGTGAGAAACTTTGTCTTATTTAAGTCAGCATTTGAAACTCAGATACTTATACTTCTAAAACATTTATTATTTGAGAACTTTGTTCGTCATTTACCATGAACTGCTTTTAGTATGTTGCTTATTTAGACTTTCCCTATTTCTGAAATGGATTGCAAACTTTTAAAAACTTGTTTCTTTTCAAATTAGACAGAAAGTTTTTAGAGCCTTGATTTGCTAACTGGTCAGTGATTTATAGCTTCAAGCTGTGTCAGTTTGCCAGAACTACCATAACGAGTACCACAGACTGAGTGGTTTAACCGACATTTATTGTCTCCCAGTGATAGAGGCTAGAAGCTCAAGAAGGGTTGGTTCCTTCGGAAACCTGTGAGCTTCTGGTGGTTTGCAGGTTATTGCTGGTGTTCCTCAGTTCACCTTACCCTTTACTCATATTCTCTTGGTGTCTGTGTTTGTGTCCACATTTCCTCCTTTTATAAGGGCACCAGTCACATGAATTAGACCCCACCTTAATGACCTCATCTTAACTAATGACACATGCAATGGTCCTATTTCGGGATTTTGTCTATTTTAGTGCCCACTGAAAATCATTTTATCACTTAGTAACACTCAGCTGTAATGTATAATAAAACAACATAGTCGATGATTGAGTTTTATCGTTGCGCCATCATTAATCACTTCAGTTCAAATGAATCAAACATGTTACTCCTTCTAGTAAGCAAAAGGGGTCTGCTTCAGTAAGGTGCACCTAATCACTTGTCTGATTCCTGATATTTTAACTTAAATACACTGAATAGAATCTCATCTCGGAATACTTAAGCTAAATTTTGTGGGAACTGTAGCATACTGAATGATTTTTTTGTTTGTTTGTTTTTTCTGTGCCCACTAAATAAAGGCCAGTATCAAGGTAAACGTAATAATCTGTCACAGGAGTGAGCCAACTTTTTCTTAAAGGAGCAAACAAGTAAATCTTTTTAGCTTGGCAAGCCATGTTTATCTTTAACACTGTTAAAGTAACAATATTATAAATAAGTGAAAGGGTGTGATTGGATTCCAGCAAAACTTTTTTTGAAAACTGGTGTCAGGGCTGAAGTTTGTCATTCTCTGATCTGTCACTCCATAAGCTGTAAGTTCATTCTGTCATTATTTGGAAAAAGGTATTCTTGAAGACTTGGGATAAGGATCTTGGTGACCCGAAAATTATTAGATTGGTAGATAGTTTTGTCTTGCTTTAATGCAAGACAAAAGGTATACATTGAAGTCATTGTCAGGTTAAGAAATTTTCTTCCTTAGTCCATTTGGATGCTTTAAGCAGGGAGCAAGTTCAGTTTCTAGGTTATCAGTCCTCTGGTGGTTTTGCTGACTTTGAAGTTAACCATCAAAGATGAGCTGTTAGATTGGACTATGTAATATATTTTAGAATAATGATTCCTCTTCTTTTTTCATTTGTTTGTTTTGTTTATATTTGCTGCTTTCATCAGTTAAGTAAAAGTAGATAAGATGCCAGGCTCCAAAACTTACTCCAAAGCAGGATCATTAGCCAGTTTAATGTCCTTTCTTCCTGACATCCAAATAGAGCTCTCTGGCACCATGTTTTCTCAATATACTCTTTAATTGAAATGTATCATACTTGCTAGTTATGATTTTACATCTTTAAACCTGTATCACCAAGTATAAACATCTATGTGACCATTCCTTGGAATATTTTGTACATAAGGTGTTTAAAGTTGTCTACTATGATCAGCGGAGATCAGCTTTAGCCACAGCCACTATTTCTGCCCCAGTGGATATCTGGGTTTACAGCTGTTGCCTCTGAGCAGCTTCAACAACAGAATTAAAAAATTGCTTCTGAAAGTGAAATTAACTTGATCACAGAGAACGGGGCAATTTTTTATTATTGCTTTCACTGTCTGCCTCCAGTGCTGTGATTGTAGGAAAAGAAATAAGCTGTGGTAACTGATATATCTTGAGATAGTGAATTTTCAATTGGTGCCTTATTAAATAATTTAAAAGTATAGTTGCTACAGGGAGAAATAAAATATAGGCTGTAATGCTAGAATTCCTTATATCAAGTAATTAAGGTTTGGCATTTAGTCTTTTAATTCAGTAAAGTACAAATTCATAATCTTCCCAGAAATTATCCTTAAGGAGAGGTATGTTGTGCCGTATATTTTTTTTAATTCTAGAAAATTGCAAATACATGAGAGTGAAAGAGACTATGAATCCTCAACAGTGATCAGCAATCCAGTCTCTAGTCTTCTATACAGCCAGATTGTTTTGAATCTTACTAGGTTTTGTAACTGAAAATGTAATTTTTACTTAGTCTAGGCACTTTGGAAATTCTGTATCATCAAAGAATTTGTCATATAGAAAATCAAGAAGTAAGGACTATGATGTATATAGTGATAATGATAACTGCAGTCAGGAATCAGAAGATACTTTTGCTAAAGAGCTTCAACAGTATATACAAGCTAAAGAAATGGCAAAGGCTGCTCAGTCTTTATGTCCTGAAGAATCGCTGAAGAAAGATGTTACAAAGGGTACCCAGAAAGGTAAGCTCGATCTATTTTGTCATTTAAAGTTTACCTAGAGAAGCAGTTATCCATAAGTAAAGTAGGATAGATGTTTCTCCCACATTTTTCCAGGTAAGATGATTGTTTTCATGGAACTTAACACCATATATGAACTTGCACAACCCGAGATGAATCCCAGAGGTGTGGTCACTCATTGTATAAAGACTCACTGCTCACAGGGGGCTGTGAATGCACGAGGGTCACCAAAGACCATGACCACTTTGAAAACGAGAATACTTGGTACCTGGCCTCAGTGTGAAGGAAAAGACTTATATGTATTGTTATCACCTAAAGAGGAATTGATTTAATGCCAGGGATGGTAGTGTGGGATACTAAAGTGAAATGTAGCCATAGAAAGAAGGGCAAATGATTAATTGTAAATCAAACTATAGTACTTCTCATTTTATGACTTTTTTTTGCTCTTTAAATGTTTTTCTATTTAAAATGGGTCTATAGATAAGCCTTTATATAAATTATTTTAAAGATATATTTCTTTTTTAAAAGATTATTTATGCATACAAGAACTGGGGTGTGGGCCAGAGGTGCAGGGGGAGTGGAACGGCTTCACCAGAGACAGAGGGGAGCAGAACAACTGGATCTACTGAAGTACACTGCTGAGGGGAATGGCAGGTGAGATGGGAGAGGTCTGCTCTACCTTGTGGGTTAGCTTCCTGGCTGATAGCTTGGTAGTGCTGAGACTTAACCCCTCGCACCACCAGTGAGGCCCTGTATACAAACTTTTTGGGCTCTCTGATGGCGCAAGGGGTTAAGTCTCATAACTATGAAACTATCCACAGCCACTGCAACACGAGTTTGATCCTCAGCTAGGGAGCTGACCCCACATGGGGTATCAGACCTCTCCTATCTCGCCTGCTGGCGCCCCTCAGCAGTGTATTTCAATCAGTCTACCTCTTCTACTCCCCACTCTGTCTCTGGCGAATCCTCTTATCCCCTGCGTCCATACCTCTGGCCTATACCCCAGCTTTTGTATGCATAAATAAGTAAATCTTTTTAAAAAATTTTAATGAAAAACCTGACAGTTACATATAAATTTATTTTACATTTGAAGCTCTACTGTGACAGTATTATGGAACCCCTGATTCAGGATCTCTGAGTACTCCAAAAGGCTATGCCTTAGGGCTAGCAAGGTAGATTGCACTGATTACTTTGCCTCCCTAGTTACCTCCCTCCCCTCTCCCAGCAATACCTTATATAGTTTTACGAAGAATGAGTCAGGGATCCTGAATAGATTCATTCTCATTTTGATTTCTTCTCCCCAAACTTCTAGAAAGATAGGTGGGCATCATACCATTCACATACTGAATTGTGGAGAGCTTCTCCTGCATTATTATAGAATATACTTCTTTTTTTTTTTTTTAAGTTTTTTTTTTTAAGATTTATTTATTTGTGCATACAGAACTGGGGTACAGGCCAGAGGCTCAGGGGCGGTGAGAGGCTTCACCAGAGACAGAGTGGGGAACAGAAAAGGCAGATCAACGAAGTACACTGCTGAGGGGAGCAGCGGGCAGGTCAGGAGAGGTCTGCCACGCCATGTGGTCTCCTCCAGGGCAGGCGGGAATCGAACTCATGCGGAAGCGGCTTTAGATTCTCAGTGCTGTGCTTTAACCCGCTGCGCCACCGGGGAGGGCCCAGAATATACTTCTTAAGACTAAACTGCCTGTTTTACTTCATGTCATCTCTAAAGTTAATTTTCTTGTTTCAGCTGTTAAACAAAAAAATAAAAACCTTAAAGCAGTTCATAAGAATGGTAAACAGAAGAAGATGAAGCGAAAATGGCCTGGCACTGGGGACAAAGGATCTAATGCTTTACAGAAGAACAGTGGTTCACAGGAACAGGTAGAGAATAGATTTTTACCTTGTACCTGGATGACAGGAAGTCTTATTTAATCTTGAAAGGTTGGGGCATCCTGGCAAATGAGGGTTATCTGGTAGTTGAAAATCTCTTATCAGCAGTCAGGTCTCCATGCTCTTCCTTCCCATTCATTAGCTGCCAGCACCGAGTGTTCTAGTTGTGGCCCTTCTGCCACACACTCAAGCCCCTGTTTTAGAGTGTTGTACTGGCAGTGGTTACGGAAAAACAGGGGTGATGGAGAAGATAAAATAGTCATGAGGACAGGTCAAAGGGCAGAATCTTACAGAGTTGCTATGATTATAGTCTTTGATCTACTAGCGCCTCATTCCCTCTAGAAGTGAAATACTGATATTTCTTAGCATTAGTCTTACCACTACTCTCTACTTGCCTGATATTTTGATTTTATTTTGTAGCACTTCCTCTTTCTGGGTCATTAGATGTATTCAAGCTGTGAAAATAAACAACTCCTCTGGATCCTGTTTTTCTGAGGGCTTTCAAATTAGATGGCAACTTTTTTATTAGGCTTGGTCACAGGAGAGGAGAGTTATGGGTGGTAAAATATTAGTAATACCAAGTATTGTAGAAAGAAACATTTGTATAAAAATCTGCCGAATAGATCTATAGATTCTAATGTAATAAATAACATAACCAGATAGAACCAAAGATTTAAACTGACACATATTTATAAGACATATAATTTTGATAGTGATAAATAGAAATTTGGCATTAATGCAAAGCAGATAGGTGTCAGGCCCTTCTTTGCATGTACTGTAGTCCTAGACCTGTACTCGGAAATTTGGTGTGTAGAAACTGTAAGCTGCACCACAGCTTAACACACAAAGTAATTTAAGAGCTAAGATGTATTATGAAAGTCTCCTTTTCTTTTTATACCTTGTTGTCATCTTTGAGGGTTTTTCTGGCTGTGTTTGTCAGAATACATAATTGGCCCGAGTGCTCAACTCACACAGTGAGCACATCACTAAAGCTAAATGTTACAGAATTTTTGGCTTACCTTATGATTTTCAGTTTTGTCTCTACTATTCTGGGGAACCTTGTTCTTAGGCTTCACTTTTCATCATGAGTAGTAGCATGTTATTTTTTCATTCACTAAAAACCTATAGGCAAAGTACAAGAAAATATTCATGTAGCACAAATACCAATGTCAGTGATGGAATGCTATTGAAAGTGATTCCAACTAATGTACAAAATCCAGTACAAAAGTCCAGATCTTACAAATGAAGATCAATGTAAAGTCACTTTTATTTTTTTTTGAAAGATTTACTTATGCATCCAAGAACTGGGGTACAGACCAGAGGGGTGAGAGTGGGGTGAGAGAGAGGTGTGAGAGAAGCCACCAGGGACAAAATGGGGAGCAGAACAGGCAGATCTACTGAAACACACTGCTGAGGGGACCAGCAGGCAGGTCAGGAGAGGTCTGCTGTGCCATGTGGGTCACCCCCCTGGCAGGGATTGAACTGGTGCTGCAGATAGCTTTACAATGCTGGGTTTTACAATGCTGGGTTTTACCCTGCTGCACCACCAGGGAGGGCCTTAAAGTCACTTTTAGTGCTTTAACATAATTTTGTGTAATGGAAGAATGTTTAATTTTCTGTTTCTCACTTTGAGCTTTTTGTTGTTTTTTTTTTAGGATGGTAAACCTAGTGAGAAGAAGCAACATGTAAGAATGAGTCAGGAATTCATCAACCAACATACAGTGGAACGCAAGGGAAAACAAATTTGTAAATATTTCCTTGAAAGGAAATGTATTAAGGTACAAAAATGTGTATGCAAAATATACTAAAATGCCACCTGTTGATTAACTTAGACATTCTGGAAGTGTACCTCAACACTTTAAAAATGTACTAAAACCACCTCTTGATTAACTTAGACATTCTGGAAGTGTACCTCAACACTTTAAAAATGTACTAAAACCACCTCTTGATTAACTTAGACATTCTGGAAGTGTACCTCAACATTTTAAAAATGTTTTCTTCTGAGAAAGTTTCATTTAGAAAATTTTAGTGACATATTAGTGAAGTATTCTTTTATGTTTGAGAAAGTAGATAATTAAAAAAAATAATTTGCGTTAAAATGTTTAGAACTTAACAATTTAGAGCTGACATATGTACTGTGGTTATAACATGTTAAGAATTAGCCCATGCTGCTTTTTTTTCCCCCTGTTATTATTTTGGTTATTTAAAGTTTAAAGGAATTAGTGATGATTTAAACTATTTGGAATAATGATTTTTCCATTTTTCATTCTTTTGATTCAGGGAGATCAATGTAAATTTGATCATGATGCAGAGATAGAGAAGAAAAAGGAAATGTGTAAGTTTTATGTACAAGGATATTGTACCAGAGGTGAAAACTGCCTGTATTTGCATAATATCCTTTGTCAAAAAATATAATTCTGTTTTTAATATTTACTTTTTAAATGCATACAATTTTTAGTAAAACCATTGTTTTTGTTGTGGCAAAATCATATTAATCTAAGCTCAACTCGGTACCAAAGAGATTAAATTATAAACCAACAACCCAGCTGCCCCATAGGGAAAAGAGGAATTCTTTAGAAATTCTCTCAAATAAAGATCCTTTCTTCTTAACCTACATAGGATAGCAGACTTATGAGCCCTTGTCAAGTCCCAGGAAGACCTTGTCAGAATTTGTGCTATAATATTCACTTGTTACAGACTCTGTATTCATATAAGCTACTTCATAGAAGGATGCAGGGATTGTATAATTTGAAAGTACGTGTTTTCTGTATATTCTGCACTGTGTGGAAGTTAATTGTCCCTTAATTTGAAGAATAACCCTAGTACTTCAGTGCGAATGGTATAGACATGTTGTCTTAACAAGAAACATAAATGTTTTAAGATAAGAGCATATTTGGTCACCAAAAAGCTGTTGTCCACATTTCTTTATTCAATACTAGGAATCTCAATTTTTAGCATAAGAATTTTTCCTAGAAAAAATATTGAAGTTGTATAAGTGAATCCTATTTTAAGCAAGCCTAAATATATGAAGAATCCAGACTTGTAATTTGTGTTATAGTCATTGGCTTTAATTCCCCCATCCCAAAGAAAGCTTTAAAAATACATTTCTTAAGGTATTTCACACCCCTTTATATCAGTGAAATATTTATGGCCTATTATAAGAATGGATATGAAAGAGATCTGTAAAAGCCAATATACTTGATTTATATAATCATCCTTATTACCTCATTTTTTAAATTCAATGTTTCTACTATTAGTAAAGTCCTTTAAATAGATATGAAAAATAAAGTCGTTAAATTTTAATGTTATTGTAATTGGATTAAAATTGTTCTCCTTAACATTTTGGTTACATGAATATCCTTGCAAGTTTTACCATACAGGAACAAAATGTTATCAAGGAGATTATTGTAAATTTTCTCATGCTCCACTGACTGCAGAAACACAAGAACTATTGGCTAAAGTAAGTACACTTAATAGCATTTTGTTTTCCTTGGTTTTTAAGACTGAACTAAGAGTGAAAATTCGAAAAGATACTGTTTATAAAGGACAATACCTCTTTGGTTAGCAACTGGGGTGTCTAGAACTGATAATCTAAGAATTTTCTTAAGTTTAGAGAATTATTAATTTGTATATTTTTCCTTATAGCTTAAAGAAAAATGTATACTCATTGCTGGTAGAGTTGGAATATTCTTAAAATTTTAATGGTAGTCAGCAACTTTAAAAGTAAGCAAAACAAAGGAGAAACAAAATAAATAGAAAAAAGTTCTCCTGTTACACTTTTAGAAAGTTAAGTATAGTTGGTTGATAAATACTTTAGAGTTATACCTAACAATGCCCAAATAGTTATTTCAAATTATTTTCTTCTGATATTCTTTGTGAGATAAGGTAACCAAAACACAATCATTTATATGCTTTCATTTCCCATGACATTTGAAACTGCTCTCTTCAAAAGTAAATTGAAAAATAGATGAAAATTTAAAGATTCTCTTAAAATGAAACCTTATATGTGGCAAGTGTTTCCTTGAGTCTATATTTTTAGGTTGTAAGATATGAAGGGTTACCCTGGAAATAGAAGTTATATTAAATACTTGATTGGCTGGTAGTGTGAAATACAGATAAAGAAAAAGACATTAAAAATAGTTTTTCAATTCCTTTTATAGCAATTATTATGTCATTCCTAGAAAGTCATTAGAAAATTGTAAGAGTATGATTAATTGCCTGAATTAACCATTAATGCATACAAATGCTTATTTTTTCATACTAGGTTTTGGATACTGAAAAGAAGTCATCATGAAAATAAAATATGTAAAAAAAGGTAAAATTAGAATTTAACATTTTAAAACATATCTAGAAGTTGGTGTAGAATCATAGGGCTTTTTACATTTTCCCAGATAGTCTTTTTCTCCTCTCTAGTTAAAAAATTGTAAAACATGGCCCTCCCTGGTGATGCACAGAGGGTTAAAGTATGGCACTGCAAGTTGACCACAGCTGCTTCAGTGCGAGTTCCATCCCCATCCCTGGAGCTGATCCTCATGGCACAGCAGACCTCTCCTGTCTCGCCCGCTGCTCCCCTCAGCAGTGTACTTCAGTACATCTGCCTGTTCTGCTCCCCACTCTGTCTCTGGTGAAGCCTCTCGCTGCCCCTGAGCCTCTGGCCTGTACCCCAGTTCTGTATGCATAAATAAATAAATCTTTTAAAAATATTGTAAAATATTTGATACATATACATAGATATATATGTAGGTTTCCATGGACCTGCTTCTTTTTCTGGGTTTGTACCTATCTTTTTTATTTTTATTCTCTTTTGAGATTTCTTTTTTTTTTTTTTAATATTTATTTATTCTGGCCCTCCCTGGTGGCGCAGCAGGTTAAAGCACAGTACTAAGAAACTTAAGCCAATTCTGCCTGGTGCGGCAGACCTCTCCTGACCCGCCCACTGTTCCCCTCAGCAGTGTACTTCGTGATCTGCCTGTTCTGCTCCCCACTCTGTCTCTGGTGAATCCTCTCAGAGGATCAGGCGGGGATCGAACTCATGCAGAATTGGCTTAAGTTTCTTAGTACTGTGCTTTAACCCACTGCGCCACCAGGGAGGGCCCTTTTTTGAGATTTCTTAATAGACTTGCCAAATGTGTTTGATTTACTAAACAATATATTTAGTTTTATCTTGTATTTGGATTTTATTTAAACATATCATTTTTGTATCTTAATTGGAACCTTGATATTTTCACTCAACATTATGCTTTTTAAGTCATTCCTATAGATACATGAAGCTTCATTCATTTTGATTCCTGCATAACATTTCATTCTATGAATATGTTATTTATTTCTGATAATTATTTTCAGTTTTTAAATAAAAATTCTTATAAATAATACAAGTGGGTATGAGTTATCCTGGGTGTATATCAAGTGGCAGAATTGTGGTTTATCTTAAACCACAACAGCTGTGTAAAGGAATGCTTGTTCCACACTTGGTATTATCAAGACTAAATTTTTTTTTTCTCCTTGAGTCTGGCGCCTTAGACCACTTGGCCATCCTGACACCCAAGATTAAATTTTTTTTAGTGGGCATAAAAAAGGTGTATCATAGCTTTATTTTCATGATTTAGTAGCCTTTATTATGCTTTTTAGCTCTTGATGTTAATCTTTGGTGATATCACATCTGTGAATATCTTTTGCTCCTGTTTCTATTGGGCCAATTGTCCATTATAGGTTGATTTTATATATCCCTACTTTAATCCTATGTGAGGTATGTGTGATATGTCTCACCCTATTTTGTGAGCTTTCTTTTACTATTTTTGAGTTGTCTCAGTGAGCACAATTACTTACTTTTCTGGTAGGTTCTGTGTTTTATGTCTTTGCATTTTTCTCATGACTCATAATATTGAGCATCTTTTCATGTGTCATTGGTCAAATCAGATCTGTGTCCCTTTTTAAATGAATTGTCTTACTGTTGAGTTATAAGAATTCTTCATATATGTTGGATATAAACACTTTATCAGATATGATTTGCAAATGTTGTTTTGAAGACTTGTCTATTTCTTCATAAAAGAACTGGGGTGTAAGCCAGAGGTGTAGGTGGTGAGAGGATTCACCAGAGACAGAATAGGCAGATGTATGAAATACAGTGCTGAGGGGAGCAGCGGGAAAAACAGGAATGGTCTGCTGCACTGTGTGGGTCTCCTCCCTGGCTGGGGATTGAACTCATGCTGCAGTGGCTTCGGATAGCTTCATAGTGCTGTGGTTTAACCTGTTGCACCACCAGGGAGACCCCGGTCTTAGATTTTGAATTTCAATTCAAGATATATTTTCATATTCCTAAAATAGGAATATTTAATTCAATGGACTTTTGTGTTATTTGGGGGGAGTAAGCAGAGGTGATTAGTTGACTAAGTTGGCAGTTTTTACCAGCTGTTTTTGTACTGTGTTTTCTTTTGTAGCTTTTGTATGAATGAAGAGTGCTTATATGTCTGTGCCTGTTCAAGACCATTCAAGACTGGTGGAATGGCTTGAGATTCCTTATTTAAAGCGCCCTCTTGTGTCACTGTGATGGCATGCACTTCTTAATGGATGGAGTGGAGAGAAGGGATTTGTTGCATCAGTGAAAGGGTTGGCCTTCACCCTGTTCTAGCCATTAGAACAAGAGAAGAGCACATATGACAGAGTTGCTGGCTGATGGGTAAATGTTGTATTATAATTGCAGAAGTCTCTTTCAATTGAGTTTTCTTAATAAGAACCAAGGTTGGAGTAAGGATGGGAAGATAGGTGTCTAGGGATTTAAAGATTAGAAAACTGTTAAATGTTCCTCTAGGAAAACACTCACTAAATAGTAGGTAGATCTAATGAATATGTCATTAGATCTTTTCACATCATTAAGTACTTCTACAACATATTTTTAATAGTTGCTCACAAATCTGTTTTATGGCTTAAAATATGGCTCTATGATTTTTAAAAACAAATTCCCTGTTTTGGACATTAAAATTTGTTTCTAATTTTCTACCATTATAAATAAAGTAGAACAGTATCACTTGTATACCTAAAGTTCTTATCTTTCTTGTTGTCAAGAAAAAAGAATGGTTATCTTTGTCATTGTTTCATAAACTGTAGTTAGATTACATGCTTGGGTGAAGTGTAAATTCTAGGCGTATGATGAAGTCTTTAACATAGTATTCAAGTACAGAATTTTCCAGTTACAAGTAATGAGATTTTAATTTGCATTTTTATGTAGCAGTACTTATTATTAGAAATGCCATGAAATAAACTATCATAATACTGTTTTACTACTGGGAAAAATAATACAGTAACATCATTAACTTGCTATATACATGGCATAAAGTATACAAAAGTTGATGCTTCTAGCAAAGTCCCATTTGAAATATGAGTCAAAATTACTGGATCTAGACCAGATCCTCAGCCCTTAGTATTTTCTGTTTTTTCCTGATGCAGAAAATGAGAAGAAAGTTGGGAAGAAACTGGGTCCTTGGTAACAAATCAGCCATGGAATTCACCAATCTTAGAGCACATACTTTTCAGATTTTATGTTACACTTGAAATAATGTACTTTCTTTACTGTGTAAGCCATTTTGACTTGAGTTCTATTACTGGCAGCCAAACATGAGCAAATAGTAAGCTAAAAAATTAGGAGGCAAGAAGTAAGCCTACATCCATCTATCCCGAGTCCACTCTTCACGCCCACCCCACTCTTCCCTCAAAGATTACCTCCAGTCTTGGTTCCTGCAGGCGGCACACAGTAAGCAGTGGGTATTTAAGCCATTTTGACTTGAGTTCTATTATTTGCAGCCAAACACGAGCAAGTAGTAAGCTAAAAAATTATGAGGCAAGAAGTAAGCCTACATTGATCTATCCAGCATCCACTCTTCACCCCCACCCCACTCTTCCCCGAAGATTACCTCCAGGCAGCACACAATAAGCAGTAGAAAGGAGGAAGCATGACAATGGGGAGGGCTGTCTTATGACAAAACAGGGCAAAAACTGGGAAGAAACAGATTTATTTGGGAGGTGATGAGCTTGTGTTACATTGGAAGGCATGACTGAGGCGCAGCTCCCCTCAGGGTGGGTGTTGATTCCTGTGAAGTCTGGAGCACTCCTTCACATTATTTAACAATAGAAAGTAAAGAGAAAGACTTATATGTCATTCTCAGGTACATATGTATTTTCATAGCTAACATCCCTGAAATTAGAATGTATTTTATAATTTGAGGGGATATCACTTTTTCCCCCCCTTGGTGAAACCTAAGTGGGGGACCTTACTATGTTAGTGACATGTTTAGATTTGAAAGTAATTTTTAGCAGGAGTTATCCGTGTATATAGCAACCATTTGTTGTGAAATTAAAATTTATGAATTTTTTTATGAACTAGTGAGCTGTGAAAACAGAAAGGGTTTTTTATGAAGAGGAGACGTTCCCAGTCTCTTCCCCCCATTTGTGGTCAAATTTCCTGCATTTCCTCAGATGACTCCTCAGATTCTTTGGCTTTGATGTACACTGCCTGTATCATCCCCTCCCTTTGAGTGTGGTATTGCCCTCAGTGTACTGAATGGATATGATGAACTTTACTCCTCCGATTAATTTATATTACGTCTGAAATGAAGAGATTTTGGTTTTATTTTAATCAAAAGAGAGCTAATCCCAGGTGTGACTGAACTAATCTGGTAAACCTTGAAGAGAGACCAAACCTCCTGAAGTCAAAGGTCAGAACATGAGAGAGGTTCTGCTAATCTTGGAGTAAGCAACCATGTGTCCAGAGCTGAGAGCAACTTCCAGTGACATGGCAGAAATAGGAACTTTAGACTATATTCCTGCAATGTAGGCTTACTGCTAATGACCTGAAAGAACTAGCAAAAGTTGTTCCAGGCTCATTTTGTATATTTTCATCTCAGTCAAATTGGCCATTTTTCTAAGGAGCCCAGATTTCTTTTAACTGAGACTATTTCTCGCAATCCACGATCTGGATGCTGTATATACTCATTGCTCCAGAGGCTGAGCAAATGATGACAGGCCCAAGAAAGGAGCTTCAGTGAACTGTCACAGATCAAAAGTGACAACCACAGGTGGGGAATGAAGCTTTTGAAGGGCTCCAGATCTGTCACCCACTCTGGTGACGACTAGGGCTTATGGGCCTGTAGATCTTCTGGGCTGCTGTGGAGCTGGGGAGGAGAGAATGAGATTAGGGTAAATTGAAATGCACAAGGCATGTTAGCAACATTCCACTGTTTTTCTTGAGTAAATTCTTTTTGAATTGTAAGCCTTGAATTTCCAGAGTATGAAGACTGTACCATCTACTCGTCTTTTTATCTCGGAATCCTTCCCTCTAGGGATGTCCAGGGACTCATCTTCCTGGCAGGATGCTCCTTGTTCCTTAATATTTGGGACTTTTACTCCTGCTCCAGATTTTAAAACTATCCTTTTAAGGGATTCCATAGAAGCAGTCTTTTTTAACATCACATAAGTCTTAAATAAATTTTGTGTCCCAGCTGTATTCTATGAAAAAATATTTCAAATTTATTTGACTGGATGTGTTGTTTGGCAGGTATATTTGTTACATAATAATATAAACTGGATTTTAATCTTGAATTTCCTGAACAAATTTGATTCAGTCCCATATCTGCTGACACACCAGCTCTTTTCAGCTTTCCGTATGCCCACAGACTCAAGCCAATTTAAACTTCCTTGTGTAGCTGAACTCAGGCAAACCCGGAATCAATAGAAATACCCCATTTTAGCCAAATGTACATAAAACAGTCATTTCAGCCCACGAAGGAGGAAAACCTGGTCAGTGAATTCCTGATTGTCTGAGACTGAATGCCTGTCCTTATGCAGCTGTGAAGGGATCTATGTTCTCCCCACGCCGGGGAGACCATGTGAGCAGCCCCTCAGGAAACAGAAACCTGTGCGGCCCCCCTGGCCCCTGCTGCTCTAACCTGCCAGTTCTGCAGGGCTGTGTTCTCTGGGATGTGCCCTACAGCCAAATCTGCATCCGGAAAAAGCAGGGGTAGATGGCCTTGACTTTAGGATGTGCAGGCCCTTCCATTTGGAGGCTGAAATGCAAAACAAAGAAGGGGGTACCCTTCTCTGTGTAAGTGGGGAGACTTGAAGACACTAAACTGGGAAGACACTGTTAAATGTTAGTAGGAATACCACAGGTGTGTATGGTGAGTGGGAGCTGCATGAAGGTCCGTGAACTAGCAAGGATCTGAACCCACCCATGAATTAGAGGGGTCTCTTGTTCAGAACCCTTCAGGTTTAATCAAGGTTTGGGAAATGGGGCTTCAGAACACCAATAATACCCTTAGGTCTCAGTCTCCTTGCCAGCTTTCACTCTTTCCAGGAAGGCTTCATCAGTTCCTCTTGTCAGGGGCAGCTTTAATGAAAATCAGGGAAGGACATGCTCGCACCTCCCTTTTTGAGTCTCAGCTGCTCTCACATCACAAATTTAAATTGTTCTTGATATTCTAGAGGCAGCTCAAGGGTGTTTAATGACTTTTCTTGAGGCTGTATTCGCTGCAAGAATCAGGCATATAAAAAAAATCTTCAGTAATAATAAAATATTAAAACATTAAGGGGGCACAGTTTTTCTTCTCCAAGCATATGAACAATGGATCTTTGGGTGAAAGAATAAAAAGGATTTTAAAACATCTTTAAGCTTTGAAGTGGTACAGAACAAACCATGAAACAGTTCAGATGGGGATGATGTGTCCTGTTCAAGTTATTCAAGAATTCTCCAAGGACAGAACTAAAGGAGGGCAGCCACCAGAGAAAAGTCAGGCATGTGTGAGTCAGAGTACTGGATGACTTCCTGTGTATAAACCAGGCATATTACATGCCTTCCCATACATGACATTCACACTCACATGTGAGGGACCCCTTTGCCCTATTATTGAACATGTACTGGTCCAAGTCCATTTCCCCTGCCTCAGCTGTTTGTGACTTCAACCAGAAGAATATCAGGATGGTGCCCTATGTGGTTCCCAGGACTGGGTCAAAAAGGCCATGCAGCTCTATTTTCTTTTCTGGAACATTTACACTAGGGACCCAGAGCATCATGTCAAAAGTCTGACCACTGAAGCCAGGAAGAGTCTAGGCTGAGGACTGTCCATTAAACCAAGCAACAATGACCAAACCAGTTCTGGTGAGTACTTCTAACACCCAGATTTTGATCTCAACTCCACATGAAAAGCAATCAGTGGTCCTTGAGAAGAAAAGTGGCTGACTTAAAGGATGGGACATAGAAAATTCAAGATGATCTTGAGACATTTTGTTATATGAGACATCTATAACCCTTTCAAAGACCATTGGGGGTCTGTCAAGAGGAATCAACCAGCTTGAGGGAATTTCTAGGAACCAAAGATAGGTTTTTTTTTTTTGAGCAAAAATAAGGATAATATTGAAATAGGTCACTCAAAAAAGAAAACACTATTCTCTGGACATGTTGGAAAGATGCCAGGATGCTCCCTCATTGGGAACTAGCCAAAGGGGTTGGAAAAGTCAGTTCCTCCTGTCTTTCCTATACAAACCAGACTTCTGTGTAACCAAATAACTGATGAAAGCAGGTTTCTGTTTATAAAGTATGCTGGCTAATAAATGAAGAATCAATAATACTAAAGTATTATTTCCAACTCCTTAAAGAAGTGATCTAGGTAGTACTCATCAATGACCACTGACATCAGAAAAGAGAGGCTCCTAGAGATTTAATGAAGTCACCAGATATAGCTGCTGCTAACAGAAGAAATGAGGCAAATACACAACAGTGATGTATTCAGGAAAATGAAGACTGTGGGACATGGTAGAGGACAAACCAGTACTGCCTTCAAACAAGTTTTTCTGATGGAAGAAAACTGCTTCCATTTAAAGGAGATTAAAGAGGCTTATCACCAAATTACAATGCATGGACCTTACTCAAACAAATCACTACCCACTGAGAAATTTGAACAGTAGCTGAATATTTGGAGGTATTAAGGAATTGGTATTATTTAGGAATGACTGGTGTGAAGGTTATCCTTTTTTAAAAAAAATCTTTATTGTTGGCCCTCCCTGGTGGCGCAGTGGGTTGAAGCACTGCACTGGGAGGCTGAAACCACTTCCGCATGAGTTCGATTCCCGCCTGCCCTGGAGGTGACCACATGGCGTGGCAGACCTCTCCTGACCCGCCCGCTGCTCCCCTCAGCAGTGTACTTCATCGATCTGCCTGTTCTGCTCCCCACTCTGTCTCTGGTGAAGTCTTTCGCCATCCCTGAGCCTCTGGCCTGTACCCCAGTTCTGTATGCACAAATAAATAAATCTTTAAAAAAAAAATCTTTATTGTTTAGAGATATATACTGAAATGTTTTACAGATGAAATGACAAAATATCCAGGATCTGTTCAAAATCATGGGATGGGGCAAGAATAGAGATGAAACAAAATTGGCTTTGTTTATTGTTGAAGTTGGTGACTTGAACATGGCGTCTATATTACTCTGTCTAGTTTTGTATATGTTTGCAATTGTACATAATAAAAAGTTTTTAAAGATTCCCAACCAGATAATACAAAATTATATTACCTGGAAAGGGGAATAAACTAGTAACTGTTGATTATTATTACTCTAACCTAGAGCAGATTGGTGCTTTGAAAGGGCCAGAAAGTTGGTTTCCACTTAAGAGAAAGTGAATTGTGAAGTTGTCGAGAGCAAGGTATTACTTAGCGTGGAAGGACCCATGCAGCTGGGCCTTATTATGTTGAGGCTGAGGGGACTGGGCCTCAGATGGGATTTCACAAATGGAAGGAGGCTTGTTGACAATGGCAGATCTTGGCGATGCAGGCCACTCTATGCCCAACCTGTTTGGCATCCACATTATCATTGTACACTGGTTTAGGTGAGGCACCTGTTCTATAGACCCCAAATGATTCCTCACTTACTGGGAGGTAAGAAGCATCTCCCTCTCAACTGCTGCCACACGCTTTACAGAAGGAAGAGCACAGAGGTGGGACACCTTTTCAGGAATATGGCCAGGCCCCTGGGCTCTGGTGTTCTGTGCAGGGATTGGATGGAGTATGGACTTGATCCCCATCATAGCACCACTGGAAACATGAGACTGTGGATAATAGTTTTAATAAAGTCTTGAAACAACCCAGAAAACTACATTATTCCTTTGCTGGGTGGAAAAGTTCAAAAGCAACTCTTGATTGTGTCTCTCTCTTTGCTGACAAAATAAGGTGTCTCAGAAACCACCTTGATTTAGGCTTTGATCACTAAAGAAGCAACATGTTTCTCTAGCTCCATCTTGCCCCAAGACAAAGAACTATTAAATGAAATGTGATGCAATCACACTTAAATTGTTTTTGGATATGGATACATCTTCACCGCTCTGCTAGCTCCGTTTGAACTTAATGGTTTCTCCCAGTCCATTCCTGGCTTCAGCCAGAGTTTTCTTTTCTCATTCACCTGGAGGGCATCATCTCTGTAATCAATGGCCATGCAAGCATTTTCTTAAATAATCTGTTGCCAGATACTACCTTCCTTACCAATGCCTTCTTCTGATTTGGCCATGGCAAATTTCTATTGGTAGAGCAGTCCCAACATCAACTTTGTGTTTTCTTTCTTACCTAGTTAAGCCAGCGGTCCAGCCTAGAAAGACGATCAGTTATCCTTTCCTAGAAGGCATTGGGCTAGCTCGTGCTCAGGGGCAGGCCAAGTAGGCAGGGAGGAGCAAGAAACTTATTTCTCCAGTTATAACAACAGGTTATCTTTTGAGATAGGATTTCTCTAAAGGGAATCAATTCAGGCAGAATCTATGCTTTAACACTGCCCCTTGATCTAGAAGAACCTTCTTGGGGGTTCCAGGACCTTCCATGGCTCTTATTGAGAAAAGGCTGGTAGGCATGCCACAGAGTAAGAATACCACAGGTGGGTTGTGATAAGAGGGCCCCCTCCAAGCTCTGCGCATGATCTGATCCCCAGCGTGACTAGAACCACTTCCCAACAAGGAATGACTGAAGCAATACAGGAGGCTTGACTGTCATCTGAGACACATACCAGGGTCATCTCTCTCCCCAGCTAGTTAAAACTCAGTGCCATCCACAGGCATCTTGAGAAGCCGCCTATGCGATTTGAGAAAGCGAGTGCATAATCATGAGGAAGGACCCTAAAGCAAAATACATGGTGGTGGCAGTTTGGGTTTTGGGCTGTCCTGTGCCACTCCATGGGTGAAACGGCAGATGGGCATGCAAGAGGGGTGGGCAGAGAGGCCTGCTGCGGTCCATGCTCCCTGCTCAGTCTTAGGGAAAGAGAAATAAGCCCAGACTGCCACACCATGGTCCCTCCGTGGCACCCTTAGAAGTCATATGGGGACACGAAGATGGTGACCTTGGACACATGGTTGGCCTGCGAGGAGCGGTCCAGGTATTCTGTCATATCAACGTCCACCTCCAGCGTCTGAGGCCCCTCCAAGGTCTGGACAAGGATCAGCTCCCCAGTCTGTCGGTCCGAGCGGTGCATCACAAAGTGGCCACGACTGTTCCCACCCACAATTCCAAATCGCAGGCTGTTGGGGCCGGGTCGGCCAGGGGCTGAGGCGGTGGCCATGCGGAAAAGCGTGATGGGCGTCTTCAGGTTGGAAGGCAGAGAGAGGTAATGGAAGGAGATGGTCTTGGGCAGGTGGTGGCATGGTCTGCTGTCCATGGGGCAGGGGTTTCGCTCACACTGGCTGGAGCAGAGAGGCAAAACACATGAGGAGTCAGCCTTGGGGAAGCTGGCCAGTGGGTGCTTGACCTGGTCTCTGGACATGTTGGAAAGATGCCAGGATGCTCCCTCATTGGGAACTAGCCAAAGGGGTTGGAAAAGTCAGTTCCTCCTGTCTTTCCTATACAA